AATTTCTTATTATCAGGACGTCCCATAATCCTTCACAAAGACCTCCAGCTGATAGAAAATGTTTCTCGGTTAAAAACTGTTTTCAAAGGTCTAATGCACGACAGGAGGACAGAATAATCAGTGTGTCTTGTCAGTGCCTGTTTAAAAGCTACATAAATATATAAATATCACCATATGTTTTGCCTTTATGATGTTTAAGATCATGCACACAACTCATCAAACTGCCAAACAAGATATTCTACAGCAAGTCAGAACTATCATCTGCTCCAATATATTATAGAAAGTTGACAGTTTTTAATTATTAGTGGCTGTTTTTTGTTAACAGCATGTGTGAGAGCAAGGCACAGAAGCTGTTCACACGGTGCTGCCTGTGAACAGGATGTACATGCACTTATGATCTGCACAGGCGAGACAGAAAGCTGTGGTAAAGAGTGTGGTAAAGTGTGAACCGGAGGCAGCGAACAGCGAGACATGTACTGAGAAAAGCCAGAGTTTACATCCTTATTCTTCTCTTAATGTCGTCTATTTTCACTGTACAAACTGCAACTAATATTTTAAGTCTGGCTGAGGTTTTGTTGAGTCAGCAAATGCAAAGGAGGCTTAGATATGTCCACCTAGCTCTGAAGTACAAAGATTAATCACACAACTGATCAATTGTCAACTGTGAAAATATTTGCCAACTATATTGATAACACATAACACATTTCTTTGAGAAAACTGTCTCTGATTGCAGCTTCCTAAATATGACTACTTTCTGCCAGTAAACTGAATATTTTTTGTGATGATGTCCATATCTGAACAACTAATCAAGAAAATAACCAACAGATTTATTGTTGATAAAAAAAATAGCCAGTTGCAGCCCTACTTTATAGTTTAGCCTCTGGTCTGCTCCAGACATGAAGAAATGTTTCAGGAGACTTTAAACATTTAAAAATCCAATTTTTCTTCTTCCTTTAAATGTTTTGACAAGGTTTAATAAAAACACACTACAGGAAAATAAAATCAAATTAAATTAAAAAACGTCTTTGCATAAAGCACAATGTCTGACTGATGGAGAGGCCGCAAACAGAACCAAACACATCAAGAAAACAGTGTTCAGAGTTCAAATGACACACAGACTGAACACAGCAGAGACAGAACTCACCATGAATGGGATATTTGCTGGCCATTGTCGGGTTTAAGGACGCAATCTGCAGCACGGTGAAAGTTAAAGTCTTTTGGTGCTACTCAGTGGAGGCGGAGCTTCTGGTCTTGGTTCCTTTCCTTACCTCCTCTACCTACATAATTACCTCAACTCCTCTCCACTTTAGAAGAGGTGATGTTTTTAAAAATCAGAATCAGAAAGGTTTCATTGCCAACTCGG